CCTGAACTCCTGAGCCCAAGGGATCCTCTTGCATCAGCCTCCTGAGTAGTTGGGACTACAGTCACACAACACTACGCCTGGATTTATGCCTTAGGTTTCCGCTCCTGGTGTTGGATCATCATCACCAACACCATTATTGCTGCCTTTTGTTGAGTCCTTACTGTGCTCTGGGCATGGTGACCTATATATTAGTTTTTGAGATGAAAAAAAAGCCCTTAAAATATAGGCCTAAACTAGATGATTTATTATGGCCTTTTCTAATCCTGAGACTTTCTGAAATAAGAATCAGTTTCTCCTCAAAGTACTCTAAAATATTGTGCCTGTTTAACAGATGTGGAAAATAATCTTTGGACAGATTAGGCACCTTTGACAAAGTCACACTGCTAGTAAGTGGCAAGCTGATTTGGTTTTAAAGTCTACTGGCTTCACAATCATCCAAATACCCCTGTTCTTATTCTCCATCTTTGTTATGTCACCGACAATGCTATTTTCTCATCAGTATAGTACCACATACTTTTTTGCTTAAATATTGCTCCTGCCAGTGATTAACATTCAATAAGGGATATGGTAACTCAGGAATTAAACTTTATAAATTATCTATTTTTTCTTCAACTGCTCTCCCAAACTGAAAGTGACTATGAAGTTTTTTAAAATTTATTTTTTTTACACAAATGGAGCACAACTTTTCATTTCTCTGGTTGTACATAATGTAGAGTCACATTATTCTTGGGGTAATAATGTCCATCTCATTCTACCATCTTCCCCCCCACACACATTCCCCCTCCCCACTCTTCCTTCTGCTCCATCCCAAGTTCTTCCATTCTTCCGTTGCCCCCCACCCATTATGGATTAGTATCCACTTATCAGAGAAAACATTTGGCCTTTGGTTTGGGGGGATTGGCTTACTTCACTTAGCAATGATATTATCCAACTCCATCGATTTATCTGTAAATGCCATAATTTCATTCTTCTTTAAGGCTCAGTAGTGACTGTGAAATTTTTACAAGTGTTTTCCAAAACATAACCCATGTCTTTAATGCTTCCTTTATGCTTGTTTACTGTGACTCCTCTCCAGCTTGTAGCACTTTGCCTAAGGCATCATTTCTGCCTACAGTTATTTATAATATCTGGGTCAGACCACGAGGTTTCCCTGTTGTGTGAGAGTCCTTACTGAACAGGTGGAAGATGAAAGTAGAGGAGGAGATGAGCACTGTCTTCACATTTAGGTATGTGTATAAATGTAGGCAGGGGTGTTCAGAGGGACAGTTGATTGGTATCATGAATGGCTAAAGGACAGCCAAAAAAGTGGTTATGCCATGACTGGTGTGTCCTAACATACACATTAGAAGTTGGTGTGGGCCCTACAAGGTCATTGATCTGGCTGAATAGTGCCTGACCCACACCAGTCCTCCAGAAAATGTTTGATGGTTAATGCAAAATTGTGTCTTTTGTCAGCATACTATTACATGAGTATGGACAACTACCTCACTGCACATTATGGAGGGACCAGGTGAAAAAAAAGGTTTAGGTAAGCATGCATCTTTCAGCTAGTAAATGCAGTTCAGTGCAGGTCCTCTGGTGGTGAAGTCAGCATCTTCATATTTGTTTATATTTAGGACAAATAATTAATTTGAAATATTTAGTATAGTGAGCAACCATCTATCTAATCTTTCATTGATCTGCCTGTTCTACCTATAAACTATAAACTTCTCAAGGAGAGAAAGAGGGAAACTGAGCTATAGAGTATGATTATGTTATATTGTAGTCAAATTCTTTATACTCTACATATACCTGCTCACAAAGTTAGGTTTTTCTTTCACTGTAGATTGCTGTCTTAGAGAAATTATTTTGACATTGACTTGGTTTCTTTTTTTAGGCTGAGGACCTGATGAAGTTCCAGAATTCCTAATGTAGTTCCAGGCTATAAATGAGAACCTGGGAATGCAATTCAAGTGTTTTGTGGCTGTGTTTACTCACTTAAGTGTATTTAACCACATTTAAGTTTAAAAGCGATGAGAAAAATATAGTGCAAAGCTGCAGATATTCAGGGAAATGAGTAATTAGGAAGGCATTCATTTGAGAAGTCTCTAAAGTGAAGCTGTCCTTGAATACACAAAACAGAATAAAGAAGAAGGGCATTTGAGAGTGAATTGGAAACTATCTTGAAATAAAAATTCAAGATAGTTAAATAAAAATATTTAACTGTAAGACTGACTTTTTTGAAACTATATATTCTCTAATGTTGGCTCATGAATCAGTTTTAAAGTGATATAAATTCACCCACTAAAGCATAATAATTATAAAATAACATGTTTGTTGCTGTATAGTAACTTAACTGCTTACTATGCTGGGGCTTAGTGACAATTTTTTTTTACATATATTACCTCATTTAAATCTATAATTCACATTATTATTATCCCACTTTGCAGATGAGGAAAGTGAAACCTAGTGAGTTAATGAACTGCTTACATTCAAATACCCAGTAAGTAGAAAGATGGGAACTGTGCCCAAGTCATTCTTTGATCTTAGTCTTTGATCTGCACTTGTAACCATTATGATGGTATAGATACACGAGTATTCTAAACACTATCAGTATTCCACATTTATAAGAAATCATAAACAAACAACAGAAAAATAGCAATAAATCATCTCTTGTACTTATGTGTGGCCGTGTCTATTAATAGAGTAGGTACAAATGTGGAATTATATTTTTGCCATCATTAAAAGTTCCTATGACTACATAGGCAGATAGCCTTATTTCTCCCTAATTCCCTTCCAGTCCTTTTGGCTCCAGGATCTAACCCATAATCAACTTTGTGTATACTGACTCATGGTGGAGAGAAATGACTACGATCTCACTTTCATGAACCAAAATTGGAATTTGAAACCCTAAATTCAAGCCACCTGGAAACTGACAGTAAAGTCACAATTATAATAGAAGACAGGAAAGAGGAGAAGGTGGGGGAAGTCAAGGGAATATTAGAGTTTTCAAAATAGTTAAGTTGTTACAAAAGGATCATGTCCCTTTAGGTCAGGGAGTTGGCGCTTTTCAGATGATGAGCATCCGTAGATGGATCCACTGAACTGTGGACTGCTCCATCAGTAAGAGCTATCGTTTACACTGACATTCTACCACAAGGCAAACTTAGATTTTTCCAAAAGAAAGTGTCCTTAAACACTTGTCCAATTTTAAATTACAGACCGAATTAGACAGGCTAACTAAAGCCATGTCCTCTTATTATTGTGATTTGAGGTCATATTACAAGGCACTGCCCTTCCTCTGCCCAAGGATAGATGTGGGCATGGCTTTTTTCCTGCAGTGAATTGAAGTGGAGCTCCCAACAGGGCTGGCAAACCAATGCCATTGCATGAAGCCTAACATTGGATGTTGAAGGCATTGCATACAAGCCTACTGGATTTGATTTTTTTCAGACATGTTCAACCACTTATATAAACCTAAGTTCTGTTTGTTCTTTATATTGAGTTCTGAGCCATTGCATATTAGCAGTTGCCAACACAGAAAAGAGCAGAGTCAGTATAAACTTATTTTGTACACAAAGATAAAACAGATGTTATTTGAAACCCAGTTAAACAATCATCCCTGGAAACATTGCCTTCTGGTAGAGCCAGCTCCTGCACCCGGGCCTTGGCTGCAGCATAATTCTCACACTTTACTGAGTTTCAGAATCATCTGGAAGTGTAGATGAAATATAGCTAGGAAACCCGCCCTCCTCTCTGCTAGGAGAGCTCCTAATAGTAGGTTTGGGTGGGCTCTGAGAATTGAGAATAAGTTCCCAAGTGATGCTGATGTTGCTGGTTCTGGGACTGTAATCTGAGAAGCACTGGTCTAACATATCCTTTGGTTGAGAAATCAAGATTGGGCTCTCTGGCTGGGCTTGTAGGTCAGTGGTTGAGCACTTGCCTTGCATGTGTGAGGCACTGGGTTCGATCCTCAGCACCACATAAAAATAAATAAATAAAACAGGGATATTGTGTCCATCTACTACTAAAAAAATGTTAAAAAAAAAAAAAGATTTGGGCTCTCAATCACTGTTCTCAACTGCTGGAAGGATATTTAGCTGAGCACACATGTAGTGGGAAATACACCTATCTATTCATTGCTTTGTGCCAAGTATGGCTTGAAAGTGACTGAAGGGATTGAAAATTTCAAAAGTATTGGCCATGATCTTTGAAAAACCACTATGACATACTTAACCAACAAATGAAATTACACTTGATACAACTGGACTCTGATAGGCCATTCTGAAAAGTCTGGCTACACAACTATGTTAAAGGACACATGTTTTATATGTTAAAGAATATGGGGAATTCTCTATTTGATATCCATATTCTAGTACAATGATTTGCATAGTAAAAGATCATCTTGTCAGTTATCACTCGATAATCACAAACTGCCTTTCTAATCCCTAACTAGCTAAAAAGTTGTAAGACTAAGATAATAGTATAGAAAAGAAAAGAAAGAAAGAAAGAAAAGAATACCTAACTAGGGAAGCAGTTCCACAGAATCATGATTTATACAGCCTCTATTTTTGTCAAGGAATGCTTTTTATATTACCCCATAGATCATTAATATCATGTGTTCCAATATACAAAGTGAGATTCTATGTATTTCTCAGTATGGATAATTGGTGACTTTCAGTCCTTGATATATTAAATACCAAACTTTAGTCTTCGGAATATTAAGTACATCAGAATGAACAGTTGTCATAAAAGATTAAATGAAAAACCAATTTAAGATAAATTTGTGTCTTACATCAAAAACTTCCTTGACTAACATTTAAGAACAAGTGTATGTTGGTCTGGGGTTTTGGCTCAGCGGTACAATGCTCACTAACATGTGTGAGGCCGTGGGTTTGATCCTCAGCACCATATAAAGAGAAATAAATAAAGGTATTGTGCTCATCATTTTTTAAAAAAACAAGTGTATGTTTATACATTATTTTCTTTTTCTATTTTTAAGGACAAAATTGAAAAACAAAATGGAGAATATGCTACTTTGGTTGATATTTTTCACCTCTGGGTGGACTCTCATTGATGGATCTGAAATGGAACAAGATTTTATGTGGCACTTGAGAAAAATACCCCGGGTTGTCAGTGAAAGGACTTTCTATCTCAGCAGCCCCACATTCGAGGCAGACGCCAGGATGGTGGTAAACAGAGTGTGTGGCATCGAATGCCAGAAAGAACTCCCGGCTCCTGGCCTTTCTGAATTGGAGGATTCTCTTTCCTATGAGACTGTCTTTGAGAATGGCACTAGAACCTTAACCAGGGTGAAAGTTCAAGGTTTGGTCCTTGAGCCAACTCAGAATAGCACTCCAAAAGAAGCAGCTGTTAGGAGAAAGAGACAAGTGTATGGCACCGACAGCAGGTTCAGCATCTTGGACAAAAGGTTCTTAACCAATTTCCCTTTCAACACTGCGGTCAAACTCTCCACGGGATGCAGTGGCATCCTCATTTCCCCGAATCATGTCCTCACAGCCGCGCACTGTGTTCATGACGGAAAGGACTATGTCAAAGGTAGCAAAAAGCTAAGGGTAGGATTGCTGAAGATGAGAAAGAAAGGTGGAGGCAAGAAGCGCAGAGGTTCTAAGAGGAGCAAGAGAGAAGCTGAGGCCAGTGACCCAAGGGAAGGTACCAAAGTGAGTCTGCAGGAGAGACCCACGAGAAGAGGGAGAGTCGAGTTGGGTCGGGGTCAGAGAGTGGCGGAGGGAAAGCCTTCTTTCCAGTGGACGCGGGTCAAGAATACCTATATTCCGAAAGGCTGGACGAGAGGAGCAGGTGGGGATGCGGCCTTGGACTATGACTATGCGCTCCTGGAGCTGAAGCGCGCTCACAAGAAGAAGTACATGGAACTGGGAGTCAGTCCGGCCATCAAGAAGATGCCTGGAGGAATGATCCACTTCTCTGGCTTTGATAACGATAGGGCTGATCAGTTGGTCTACCGGTTTTGTAGCGTGTCTGATGAATCCAGTGATCTCCTCTATCAATACTGCGACGCTGAGTCGGGCTCCACCGGCTCTGGGATCTATCTGCGTCTCAAAGAGCCAGACAAAAAGCACTGGAAGCGCAAAATAATCGCGGTCTATTCAGGCCACCAGTGGGTGGATGTCCATGGGGTTCAGAAGGACTATAACGTTGCTGTGCGCATCACTCCGCTCAAATATGCCCAGATTTGCCTCTGGATCCACGGAAATGATGCCAATTGTGCTTATGGCTGAGACACAGCTGATACAAAGTTATATATCATCTAAGTCGCAAAGAAAACCTATTCTGATTTTCGTTAGTGAGATCACCTCATAGGATATGCTTGGACAGGAATCTATCAATAGCATTTGAGCATTTTTACAAATTTATTTTCTCACAATTTAGGAGATTTTCATACATTTAAAAATGTGTAAGTACAGATATTGAAACTAGCGGGGCACTTGAGTGCCAAGTATATACTCTTTACCTGGTGATAAGTTTTATTTGTGGACAGATTTTTGTTTCTTTCTGCCTTCTTAGAAATTAGACATTTTAAAACTTCAAACTTGTACAATAATGTGATTTCTCAATGGACTTATTCTTAGGGCCCTAATAGGATGCCAGTTGTATGTAAAATGTGAAACTGCATATACAAAGGTATGCGGTAACACAAGGAAAAGCAGGAACAGAGAGGAAGATTTGCAATTTTTGCTACTCAGAGTTGGATCCATTCAGCTCCTGCCCTCAGAATTTATACTGTTTTTCTGTTGGGTCTGAGAAGTTTAGTTTTTTTTTTTTTTTTAGAATTACAAATCAGAAGAAATAAGTTTTATAAACTATCAACTACAGCTTTAAACAATAGCAACTGCAGTATCTATTTAAAAATGGGGAAAATACTTTGTTTTATAAAATAAATCTAGTTTAAAAATAGGAAAGCTGAGACATTTTAAGATCTTAATTTTTTAATACTCAAAATATGAAATTTTTATATATGCATAGGGAAAACTTTTTACAAGTTATGAATCATGTATCCAAAGCCACATCATTTTATGCTATAATCCTACTATGTATAAGGTGCTATATTTTTAAGACAAGGAATTCTGCAGTCTTTTCCTAGAGAGATCCTTTTCCCTCTTGGCAAAGTTCAGCTTGCTTTCTTCTTTTTTGTGTGAGGCTGGATGTTGAGCCTAGGGCCTTTTGCATGCCAGGCAAATGCTGCAACACAGAGCTAAACAACCAGCTTCAAGTTCAGCTTTCTTAATAGCACCATAAGTGCTCTTTTGGCGAGTTTTCTGACTAGTAATTTTAGATATGTCCTTTATTAAAAAGAATATAATTTACAAATAGGATTTTTTAAAAAAAGTTTCTAGTTATCTTCTTTAGGGACCAAGGCTGTACACATACTCTGATTATCAAGTGGCATAAGCAGCTAAGTCCAGCAGCTGTCCTGGGACAATATGTATTTTTTTGAATTCATCAAACAACTGTTTGGCTATGAATGACTGCAAAAAAGGGTTAGTTCAGGGAATTATGCTTAAAGACTTTTAATGACTTACAATTGAGTGTGTCCTTAAAAATTTAGGAAATGCAGGTCTGATTTTTGGTCTGTTTTTCCTGGCAATTTCTAGAGTCACATTCTCTTTTCTCTTGACACACAGAGTCACTAATTCTGGCAGGGCTACAAATTCATTTTAATTAATTTTTAAGATATGCCCTAAAATAATGAGAGGCTATCCTTTTGATTAATATGCAAAGGAATATTTGATTAGGTTATCATAAGTGATTTTTGTAAACAATACCCAAAGTAGCTGAAATTCAACACAAATGCATATTCTTTTATAATGTTTGTTAAAAATAATTCAATAAAAATTTATAATAAATCAGTTTTATCTCTTACTGTATCTATAAATGTGTTTTACTTAAGGGTTTTAGAAAGTATTAGTTCATTTAATTAAAAATGATTCTATTTAAATCTAAACATATCTTACTGAACTGTATTTTGTAATTGTTTCTAGTGATACAGGGCTACCGACTCAAAAGTTTTGGTCAGATTTTTTTGGGGTACACAGCTATGTGATTACTGCAACCAAAACTATTTCAAGGTGAATTCTGTGTATTAACACACTTGCAAACACACGCACACAAAATCTTCATTTTTGATTCTTCTTCATACTTAATTTTGAGGTTTGTGTAAATTCAGAATAATGTAGCATGCTTAGTAAAATAGGTGCTTAGGGTTAAAATATGAATATATGTAATTTTCTTAAAATAACCATTCAATACACTTTTCAAAAATGTAAATTTTAAGATGGGTACAATGGCACATGCCTGTAATCCCAGCAACTCTGGAGGCTGAGGCCAGAAGATTGTAAGTTTGAGGCCAGCCTCGGCAATTTAGTGAGAACTTGTTGCAACAAAAAATAAAAGGGGCTGGGAATGTAGTGGTAGAGTTCCCCTGTGCTCAATAATTCCTAGTACTGCAACACACACACACACACACACACACACACACACACATATACATGCACACACTCGTGTATATGTGTGTGTACAAAATTTAACTCATTTGAATTGAAGATATCTTGTTGATTCTTACATGCTCTTCTCTTTTCCAAAAACAAAAAAAAAAAAAAAAAAAGATTGTGTATTTTATATGACCTCTTTGGGACCACTGTTATGTATGATATTAACTAGAAGGTCTTGCTTCACATTGTTTCCCTGTAATACTTATTATATTTGAAACAGAAGGTTAAACTAAACCTATTTCTCTAAACAAATACTCACTTGGGCCTACTGTGCACAAAGGACTCTACTAACTTAACTGCTTTGAGAATCTTCTCAGTGGTTGAATTCAAATAACTTTACAAAACAACTGTAATTTAAAATCGTGGAGTTTTTTTCCTTTACATAAAAAACATTTCACTTTGATAATTCTTTTTCTTGTCAGATGGATTTGTGTGGGCAGAAGTGACTTAACATATTTTTCCTTTCTGATGTGCTACCTAATTAAATCCAAAGTTTATTTTGAAAAAGATTTAACTGTATATATGACTGACTTAGTCAGTTTGGGCTGCTTTAACAAAGAATATCAGGCTCGAAATTTATAAACTACAGAAACTTACTGCTCACAGTTCTGGAGGATGGGAAGTCTAAGGTGAAGGCACCAGCAGATTCGACGCCTGGTGTGGGCCCCTCTTCATAGATAGTGACTTCTTGCTGTGTCTTTATGAGGTAGCAGCTTGAGTTCCCTCAGACCCCTTTATCTGGGTGAAGCCCTCATGACCCAATCCTTTCCTAAGGTACCACCTCTTATATCATCAGGATGGGAATTAGAATTCAACACAGGAATTTTGGGAGGACATATTCAGACTAGAGCAATAACTAAGATCAGAGTTGTTCATGAATTTTACTTTTTTTTTTTTTAATTGGGTCTCCCAGGCTGGCTCAAACTCAAGGGCTCAAATAATCCTTGTGCCTCATTCCCTGAAGTAGCTGGAATTACAAGCATATACCACCACATCTGGCTAATTTTTATACTTATTTTTTGTACATCAAAGAATTCTTTGAAATTATTATTTCAAAGACGCAATCTCAGCAATTCAGGGACCTTCTGAGCAATCAATTTCTAGAGTACCTGAGATTCTGAAAGGTAATGAAAGGACGCCCCTTCCTGTTCTAGGCATTTTTCCTTCACCAGCTCTGTCCTTCCTGCTGAGAGAAGTCAAGGCTTTTTTTTTTAAAAAAAACTTTTGCTTTACTTAGAATTTAAATTACTCCAGACTCCAGATTTAAAAAGAAGAAGAAGAAGAAGAACACAAATTTTAGGATATAGAAGAAAAGAATATAACTAGTGTATACTGGAAAGAAGGTCTAGGAGGACACTTTTTTCCTTAAAATTACTTTGAATGAATTAGTTGTTCAAGAAATTTGCAATTGATGATCTTAGAAGACATAACTTTAAAGAAAACATTTTTTTTTCGCAATACCTATAAAGTGCTTTTTAAATTTTTTTTTCTCTTAAAACTCAGGATATGCTTGGTGCCAAGATTCTATTGCCAAACAAAAGTACTACTTTATCAAGCAATTGCCTAAAAATAAAAGTGCGTTATTTTTGAGATGGAACTGAACTTAGTATTCTGCCACTGCACTTGGAACATTTACTTTAAAAAGGCTTTCTTTGTGGCCTGGGAAAATAAGTGACACTATTGTATCCACCAAATGGGCAGTTGTGCCATTTCACGTAGACTAGTACGTGACTGATGTGGCTCCCTGAACGGATGTCCTGAGCAGTCATTCACCCACAAATAGCAGCATTTCTACTACAAAATTAAAGCTTGACTTTTGGTGGAAACTTAACATTTCATAATGTCATAGGGACCACCTTTTTATGACTAGATGTCTCAATTCTTAGGCTAGATGAAGCAAAGTACTCTGTGGCTTTCCTATGCAGAAGTGTTTGGAAAGGCTCTCCTTTGCTAGAGTCATGTAGAACATTCAAGTTGAGCTCCATACTATGAGCCCTGAATTTATGATATTTCAATGGCTTCCCTCAGCCTGGTAACTTCCAAACTTGGCTGCTTATAGGAGTCATGTGGGAATTATTTTAGAAAGCCAGGTTTCAGGATCCAACCGAGACCTATCCTGGAATCCCTAAGAGTAGGGTCCAGAAATTTCAATTTGATTAAAATCTCCAAGTATTTATGATGATTATCCAGGTTTGACAACAGCTGACTTTTCTAAACCAATTATTCCCCCACCTCTTGCACCTTTCCTCAGGGCCTAAAGATGCTTGTCTTCCAGGCTGGGGATGTGGCTCATGCGGTAGCACACTTGCCTGGCATGCATGCGGCCCAGGTTCGATCCTCAGTACCACATACAAAACAGAGATGTTGTGTCTGCCAAAAACTAAAAAATAAATATTAAAATTCTCTCTCTCTCTCTCAAAAA